GAATATTATATTATAGGTGGTCAGGAAATGTTCAAATCTCACTTTATAGTATCACTAATATAAGTAATTGATTTAACAAAACAATAATCCCAATAATCCTCAACTAAACTAGAAAAAAAAATCCTGCGGGTGTGTTTCATGCTAATTCCCGGATAACACATTGCATTAGTGTAGCTAGAAGATAAAGTTTTACTGACAAATAGTTTTCCATGCTTTATGTTGTGAAGAATTAGACTCATATTCTGTTGGTAAAGACCATTATAGTAATATAAGGTTATATTTTTTTTTTCTTGAAGATTAGGCAATTAAAAATTTGTGAGTATAGTCTGTTTTATCTGTTTTTTCAACATCTGTAAATAATTTATATTATTAGGTACTGTGAATTTATTATTTATCTCTAAATTAATGCATTTTTTTAGTTGTTATTAACTGACTCCAGGCAAAACAAAATGTCTTGACTGGCTGAAAATTGCTGCAGATGCAAGTTTTAACTTTTATCCTCATACCACCAATCGAACAAAAAAGTTCCTACAATACTCAGTGGACAAGTTAAATGAGAGAGAAAAAAGTAAAATAAATAAAAGCTCTAAACCTTCATTATTTTGCCTTCAGTGTTGCCTCCTGTCTTGGTGCCGAGGAACAGCGAGTTCAACGCCAAGCACACAATGTTGCCTCGGTTCCGCAACCCTCTACAGCAGAACGAGCCACACATGCCCCAGAATGCCACCTTCCCAGAATCCTTCACTCAGGCAAACACTGTGCCTTTCCCACACTCGTCGGGAAATGGCTACCCAAACTCCCCAGGTAGTGGCAGCAGCGTCACCTTCCCCCATTCGCCATCCAGCTCCGACCCTGGCAGTCCATTCCAGATGCCAGGTAAGATCCGTGGACTTTTCCATGTCTTCCACACCAAACCACGGACAGTCACTTCACTATAATATGTGTACTTCCTGCTGCAGAGACCCCACCTCCTGCCTACATGCCCCCAGAGGAGCAGATGACTCAGGATTGTCCTCAGCCAATGGACACCAACCTTATAGCTCCACCTTTGCCAACGGAGAGCAACAACCAGTCAGGTAATCATGGCGGACACACACACGTGTGTTAACTGAATCTTTGAAAGCTAGATGTAATGAATCATTGCCAGCTTTGAGTCATTACCACTGGAGAGGAGAGCTGAGATAATCCCAGTTTTACAAGTACTTTACTTTACTTTACTTTATTTATTTATTTATTTATTTATTTATTTATTTATTTATTGCTGTTGTTGCTTTTTATTTGAAGCCTTGTTTAAATCTTTCGACTTCCAGACCCACCACTGGTCATTTGTTGGTTTCTATTTCCCCCTTTTTTATATAATCAAACAAACTACTTACGTTTTAGTTTGTATTGTGGTGGCTACATTAAGTAAAAAGATCAGCAACGCATTTAGTTAGTTACAAACTTTTGTTTCAAAGATCCTTTCTTTAATTTGTTGTGGAATGTGTCCACTACTGCAGCTTTCTTCTATGTAGAGCAGGGGTCTCCAACCTTTTTCTCCTAAAGAGCTACTTGCACAAAATGAAATTGACCGAGAGCTACTTTTTGCAACATTTAATTTAAAATATAAAACCATTGGAATAAGCTTGTTTTGCACAAAAAACTCTTGTCTTTAATTCACATGAAACTATTACAAAGAACACTGAATTTACATAATTGTGTTTTTTGTGATTATCCATTCATATTATATTGTATTTTATACTAATAACAGATTTGTGCACAAATAACGTTGTGTAATGGGTCTCTGATTTTTTTCCCGCATTTTTTCCCAGCGGGAAGAAACCCACTGTAGTGACATATACTGCAGCAGGAGGTGTTTCCCAGGAGTTTGGCACAATTTGTCTCAAGGGTCTATGAAAAGTGTGTGTGAAAACGAATGCAACTGTGCGTCGTCTGCCAATCGATCATACTGAGCCCTAAACTGTTTGACAACCAAGGGGAAGGGACATCTATTGATTGATTGGAGTTAAATGAGAGTTTGTTTGGCCAGTGACAAATTAAATTTTGCTTCTCCTAATTTTTCACAAGCACTGAAGAGCTACTTTAAATGAGCTCAGGAGCTACCGGTTGGAGACCCTTGATGTAGAGCAGCTCTACGTAGACAAACACTTTACATTTGGCTGATAAAATGTTAGTCTGCTAGTTGACAAAGAGGCTTTGTCTTTGGGTGAAAACTGCAAAGAGACCTGAAAACCTGAGCAAATCAGGACAGTGGATAATTTTTATGAGGCTTGTAAAAACTGGGCTTATCTCATCTCTCCTCTCCCGGTGGTAATAACTCAAACCTGGTAATGATAACAGTGATTTATTACATCTAGATTTCCAATTAAAAGAGGGGTCTAATAATTGGTTCTATGTCACATTTGTGGTTTTAATGTTGGCAACAGAAATGCATTTGAGAAGTTGTGAGGGGATAAAAATATTCAATGGACATATGTGTGATTCCAATATTACTGGGTCTAAACAACATGGAAAAAAGACATGTTAAAAATGTCTTTGTTTCTCTTCATTTACTGTAGTATGTTATCTCACGATTCAGTTTTAAACTAGACTCTAATGTTAGAAATCACCAATTTACGTAATCTAGCTAAACAGTTTGCTTGTTTACAGTTGATTCACAGTCTCATTTTTTATCCTGTTTGGTGGGCAACTCATTGTTTAGGCAAGTAAAAATAAGACTAGCAATAGTTCAAATGAACAAACAAGCTTTATTTTGGTAAAACGTTGTGGACTTTCTTGCGTTTAAATGAGTCTGGTCACACATTAGGACAGCAGTGATGCTTTTATCTAAACTTTGCTTTCCATCTGAAACCCACAAAGTTTTCTTTTGTATGATTTCGCGCTCAGAGGTAATTCTGCCCTCGTCTGAGGATAGCAGTAGCAGGAAGAGCTGTTGAAAGTTTTGTTAGCTGGAAGTGGGAGTAGGAGGGGGAGGTTTTTTTTTTTATTTCCACAAGCTGCATCCTGTAAGTGGGAGCAGGTTTCTATTGTAGAAAAGCTCTGGGAAGAGGACAGACAAAACACACCTGCCAGCTCAGTGCCATGCTACACAGGAAGTTTGGGAGAGGTATGTGCTTAGATAAACACGATTTATTCTTCTCTCCAGGGTTGGGGCCGGGCTTGGAGTGGATTGAAATAATAAATGTTTGGATACATGCATCAAACTGCATGGTTATAAATGTTTCCACATTGACTTTGTTCAACCATAATAAAAAAATGAAACATTTTGTGTCTTAAATCTTCATTATTCTGGATTACTTGGTTGAATATGAATGAGCAAGTTGCATAGATGAGCAAAATGATTTAGCATTGGTAGCTTATCTTTGTTTCTGCTCAGACCGTGTACTTGGCTTCGCTCCTTTGACCTGTTAATGCATTTCCTGTGCAGATGGGCAGCGCGTGGCCTACGAGGAGCCGAGGCACTGGTGCTCTATTGTTTACTACGAGCTCAACAATCGTGTCGGGGAGGCGTTTCAGGCGTCCTCCACCAGCGTGCTTGTCGATGGCTTCACAGATCCCTCCAACACCCGCAGCCGGTTCTGCCTCGGCCTGCTCTCCAACGTCAACCGCAACTCTACGATCGAGAACACCCGGCGGCACATCGGCAAAGGTGAAAACACTGGAGGAGAACTTGTCAATAACAGCAACGCTGTAGATCAGCTGTAGATGAGACTAAATTGGTGCATCTTCTTGGTGGGGCACAGGCCGCACCAAAACAATAACAACAAATCGATTGTTTGCATGGACTTCAGGTTGACCACACTGATGGTTTTGTTTTTTGTTTCTTAGGTGTGCACCTGTACTACGTTGGAGGGGAGGTGTATGCAGAGTGTCTGAGTGACAGCAGTATTTTCGTCCAGAGCCGTAACTGTAACTATCACCACGGCTTCCATCCCACAACTGTTTGCAAGATTCCCAGTAGATGTAGCCTGAAGATTTTCAACAACCAGGAGTTTGCCGAGTTGCTGGCTCAGTCTGTCAACCATGGCTTCGAGGCTGTTTATGAGCTCACCAAGATGTGTACCATTCGCATGAGCTTTGTTAAGGTACTTGTTTGGTTTTTCTTCTTAAATTAGCTAATGTTTGGTTTTTGGATTGTCAATAATAAAAGTAAAGATGTTTGGTTTTAATTGACCACAGTTAAGTGGCCGTTTCATAACTTTTTACCATCAATACGTTAATATGAACATGTGCTACGCTTTCAAGGTGCCAAACTTATCTGTAATCTTTAAAACTGGTCTTGATCTGATTACTTTTAACTTTTCCAAAATAGTTAAAAAAGGAATTAGATAAACTAAACAAAAACTTACCAAGAAGGTTCTCCAGAAAGCTTGAGAATTGTTAATCAAGATTACTTAAAAGATTACAAGTCTGGTTCCTTAGAAAGGAAATCTGTAGACATGTGAGATTTAGATTTTAATATGATAACTCATAACCCTAGTAGTAGTAGTACAAACGATCTAAAAGTTATAATCTAGGCATTTCTCTGTAATCTACAAGTAAGCAAAAAATGAGCAATTCATAATTTTCAAAAACAAATATTAGGAGTCAAAGAAATGCTAAACAGCAAAAACTAATAACTGTAACTGAAAGGGTTTTTCTTTATTACATTACATTAAAGTTCATTGTGTGTGTATCAAATAAAGTTTTGAGTACATTACAAATG